CATCTTTCTCTTTGACACCATGTCTGAAATCCCACGTGATCTGTCAAATACTAATGCATGAAAATCCTAACCTCAAAAAAATCACCCGTTAGTAGCGGTGAAAATTTTGATTGTTACATTAAAGCTCAATAAACTCGTGCTTGATGGCGAAAAGATCTCATTTCTAATAAGTGTCGGTGGTGCTGAGTTACACAAAACTTTGAAAACACTTGTATCGCCTCAGAAAATTGAAGAACTTACTTATACTAAAGTGGTCGATACTTTGACTCGTCATTTCACAAAGAAAATCAATACGACAGCAGAGCGGTTTAAATTCTTAAATAGAACTCAAAACGTGGAGGAATCTATTGGAGACTTCATTATTGCTATAAAAGAACTGGCGATAAAAGATCGGCTGCTGATGGGGATTCGCTGCAAAAAGACGCAATCAAAGCTAATAGATCAAGATAACCTAACTTTTGAAAGCGCGTGTGAAACAGCTCTGAAAATGGAAATGCTACAGCAGGAACTTCAAAACATGTGCCCGTCAAGTTCGGAAGTCAACGCTATCAAGAAATTCAGCAACGATGGAAATCGAAGCAGAGACGTCGGCTTACGTGAGCAGCGAAAACGGAACAGTTTGTCGAATGTTAAATGTTATTATTGTAATCAATATGGCCATACTCAGAAGTATTGTTTTTTAAGAAATAATTCGCAATATTCTAGAAAATCGGGGGCCAACTTTAATTATAATAGAAACAAAAAAGTTAATATGGTATTTAATGACATGGATGAAGATGCTTGTATAAACAATATAGGTGTTAATGCAGTGGATTTAGAGAATACTCCTAGATATTTAAGTGTTATGTGTAATTCAGTGCCCCTAAAAATGGAAATAGACACAGGTTCGTGTGCATCACTTATCCACGTAAACACTTACATGTCAAAGTTGTCAAATGTTAGATTAACAGAATGTACGAAAAGTTTACATGTTATTTCGGGTGAGAACATTGTGGTTTTGGGGTGCGCTCGGGTCGCGGTGAAAATTTCTGGAAAAGGCAATGTACAAACGTTAAAACTTCTCGTGGTAGACTGCAAAAAGGTGTTTGTGCCGTTATTAGGAAGATCGTGGTTGGATGTTTTATTTCCATCTTGGAGACAAAGTTTTGAGTCCCCAACGCTGTGCGCCAAGGTTGAAAGCTCTGAATACCAATTGAGTGCGGATTTTCCTAAGGTTTTCAACGGTAGAAGATCAGACAGCATTAAAGGGTTTAAGGCTCGTATTATTGTAAGTGAGAACATAACACCTGTTTTTTGCAAAGCCTACACATTGCCATTCGGGTTGCGAGAAAAAGTTGAAGAGGAACTTACACAATTAGTTCGCGATGACGTCATATACCCCGTTCGTTACAGCAACTGGGCATCTCCTGTCGTAGTTGTACAAAAAGGTGATGGTGGTATTCGTATATGCGTAGATTGCAAAGCGACAATAAATAGATTCGTGCGCACAGATCACTATCCATTGCCTCGATGTGACGATATTTTGGCTTCATTTGCTAATTGTTCTATTTTCTGTGTTTTAGACCTTCAGGGTGCATATCAGCAGGTTGAAGTGGAACAAGTATGTCAAGAATTTTTGACAATCAACACACATAAAGGGCTATTCAGATTTAAGCGGTTAATATTTGGGATCAAATGTGCCCCCGCTATTTTCCAATCTATAATGGACGAGATTCTTAAGGGAATATCTAATGTTAAATGTTATTTGGATGATATAATTATTGGAGGGAAAAGTAAACAAGAATGCGAACGACAACTTCGGGAAGTTTTACAACGTTTAGAAGAACATAGGGTTCGGGTTAATAAAACAAAATGTTCGTTTTTCAAAAGTAGCATAGACTATTTAGGCCATACATTATTGAATTATTATTCTCACTTCATACCGAATCTTTCAGCAGAACTTCATAGTCTGTATAACCTCACTAAGAAAGATGTTAAATTCGATTGGGATGAAAAGTGCCAAGAAGCATTTAAAAAAGCAAAACTTTAATTCCGAATAACAACTTATTAGCTCATTTTGATCCCCGTAAAGAATGCTACCTTCATTGCGATGCTAGTCCTTATGGAGTTGCAGGTATTTTGTCGCAAGTACATGAAGGAGTCGAGAGGCCTGTTATGTTCGTATCAAGCACCTTAAGTCCAGCAGAACAAAACTATTCTCAACTTCATAGAGAGGCTCTTGCGATAATCTTTACTGTTATGAAGTTCCATAAATATATATACGGGAAATTGTTTACGATATACACCGATCATCAACCGTTGCGTGAAATATTTGGTGCAAGTAGAAAAATTTCCCCTGTAGCTGCAGGTAGGTTGTGCCGGTGGGCAGTACTATTAAGTATGTATCAATACAAAATTGTATACAAAAGCGCGTCCGAAATGACTAACGCAGATGCCTTGTCACGGCTCCCTATAGATGGTGGAACAGGATGCGAAGAAGAATACGTTAATTATATTCGGGATCTTCCAACTAATAAAATAAAATACAACGATCTCGAGGAAGAAACTAGGAACGACTGGAAACTCAGGAACGTGTTAGAAATGATAAGAAATGGGTGGCCCCAAACAGTAACTGAAGTTTTAAAACCTTATTTTGTTAGGAGACTAGATCTTAATGAAGATAACGGTTGCATATATTTTGGCCAAAGGTTGGTTGTCCCGGAAAAGTTGCGTGAGGGGATTCTTGAAGCATTACACGAGACTCATACTGGTATTGTGAGGACAAAATCTTTAGCAAAAATTTACTTTTGGTGGCCAGGTATGGATGCAGATATTCAAAATTTTATATCTAATTGTAAAACTTGCGAGTATTCTCACACGAAACCCATTTCCAACCATCATCAGTCCTGGCCGGAAGCTAATCGATTTTTTTAGCGTATACATCTTGATTTTTTTAACTTTCAGAATACTAACTTTTTAATTGTAGTCGATGCGTTTAGTCAGTGGATTGATGTAAAGGATATGAAAATAACTAGCGCAGGGGCTTTAATCCTTGAATTGCGAAGAATATTTTCATACTTCGGATTACCAAACACGATCGTATCTGATAACGGCCCACCATTCAATTCGGCAGAATTTACAGATTTTTGTACATCGAATTCCATTAAATGCCTTAAAAGTCCGCCGTATCACCCCCAGTCTAACGGCGCTGCTGAGCGTGCAGTTCAAACAGTCGAAAATGGGTTACGAAAGTCGTTGGATGATAATAAAATTAAAACCCTACCTAACCCTACCTTGCTACTCTCTAGATTTTTGTTGAACTACCGTTCAACTCCCACGACAAGGAATAGACTTTCTCCAAATGAAATGATTTTTAGACTTAAACCTAAAACATTAATAGATGACATAAATCCAAGCATACGAGGGAACGGTGAGATAAGTAGAGAAAACGGAACGGTTTTGGCTATGGATGTTAAAGAAACAAAACAGAAACCATTTTTTGAAAAGGGGGATAAAGTGTTGTACAAACTTAAAACTAATTTGAAGTATAAATGGATACCCGGTATTGTAAGAGAGAAAATGGGTAACGTGATGTATAGTATAGTTGCAGAAGGCGTTTATAGGAACGCACATGTTTCACAACTTCGAAAACGAAAAAGTAAGGAAAAAGTTGATTTGATAGATGAGGTTGATATTTTCATACGACCTGAACAGGATAAGGAAGACGAACATCAAGTAACGAATAAACGTAAACGGGATCCTGATGAATTCATTGTTAGACGCTCAGAGCGACTAAAGCGTAGAGTATGTGAAAACTAAATACAAGTTAAACCATAAGATTATATTGTTTATGAGAATTATTAGTTATATTAATTTTATATGTATTAAATGTAAGCGTAACTTACATTAAGGTAAAAAAAAAAAAACATAAGGGAGGTAGTGATATGTATTAGCGCTTACGTGTATTCTATGTTTCCACTTAAACGTATATTCCTTATGTATGGCAACTCTTGTACCTTAACTAAGAACATAACGTATGGTATAAGTATACATATATGTAATGGCTAACAAAACGTAACGAATAAAGATAAGTTGTTAAGTGGATGTCGAAGCGTGCAAACGTGTCAGAATGGTTGGAAGCCGGCATTATTCAAACCAGTTTTTCTAACTATGCGTCCCCTATAGTAATGGCTAGTAAAAAAGATGGGTCTGCTGCGACTATCGGTTGCTAAACAAGAAAATTATACGAGATAATTTTCCTATGGCTCGTATTGATGACGTCCTAGATAAACTGCATGGGGCGAAGATTTTCACTACGTTAGATTTAGCTGACGGATTCTTTCATGGGCCTGTAGAAATTGAATCTAGGAAGTACACATCATTTGTAACGCCAGATGGACAGTATGAGTTTAAATACGTTCCTTTTGGTTTATGCAACTCGCCAGCCGTGTTTTGTCGCTTTGTTAATTTCGTATTTAGGGATCTTATTAAAGAGGGAACAATCGCCATATACATGGACGACATAATTATACCGGCAGTAAACGAGGAGGAAAATATAAGCAACCTAAATCGTGTTTTGGAGATAGGATCGAGATACGGACTACGGATTAAGTGGAAAAAATGTAAATTTTTAGAACGAAAAATTAGTTTTCTGGGCTACGAAATAGAAAATGGGTTGATTAGGCCATCGACAGAAAAGATTGAGGCAATTCAGAGTTATCCTTTACCACGCGATAAGAAAGGGCTAGAGCGATTTTTGGGCTTAAGGTCATACTTTAGGCGCTTTATAAACAACTATGCGTTAATAGGAAAACCATTGTCCGATCTATTGAAAAAAGATAGTGAGTTCAAAATAGATAAAGAACAGTTAACAGTTTTCCAACAGCTGAAAACAGCACTCGTAACTTCACCGGTTTTACGATTATATAATGCCAATGCCGAGACAAAAATCCACACAGATGCATCAAAGTTTGGATACGGGGCTATCTTTATTCAAAAGTGGGGTGAGGATCAAAAATTCCATCCGGTTAAATTTTTAAGTCGAAAAACAAGCAAGACAGAAGAAAAATACAATTCTTATGAGGTTGAAGTCCTCGCAATTATAGCAGCGCTAAAGAAATGGCGAATATATTTGATGGGTATCAAATTCAGTATAACCACAGACTGCAACGCGTTTGCGTTGACAAAGAAAAAAGACGATGTACCGCCTAGAGTAGCCAGATGGGCCCTATTATTGCAAGAGTTTGACTATCAAATTCATCATAGATCAGGAACTCAAATGCGGTTTGTAGATGCGTTAAGCAGGATGTATTGCTTGCAGATGGATGACTCGACCCGACATAGGTTAATGACGGAACAGTTAGAAGACGGATGGACGAAAGCAGTAAGAACGATTTTAGAGAAAGGCCCGTATGAAGATTTTTACTTAGTTCATGGTATTCTATGCAAAGATCCGTCCAAGGAACTCAAGGAACTTGTTGTTGTTCCGATGCAAATAGAAGAAGACATAATTAAATATGTTTACCAACAGGGTCATTTCGCAGCGCGTAAAACGCAAGAGTGTGTCGAGAAAGCGTATTTCATACGACAAGTTATCCCGAAGGTTGCAAGGGTGGTATATAGCTGCGTTTCATGCATAATAGCAAACGCCAAAGCTGGGAAAAAAGAGGGTTTCCTTAATCCAATCCCAAAACACGATCAACCACTCAATACTTACCATATTGACCACTTAGGGCCATTGACAGTCACATCGAAGCAGTACAATCATATTTTAGCAGTAGCGGATGCATTTTCCAAATTTGTTTGGTTGTATCCGACGAAGGATACAAGCGCTGCAGCTGTAATCGATAGGTTAGAAAGACAAGCCGCCATCTTTGGAAACCCGAAGCGAATAATAACGGACAGAGGTACCGCTTTTACCTCACAAGCATTCAATGATTACTGCACCAGTCGCGGAGTACAACATCTTTTGATAGCAACGGGAGTACCAAGAGGTAATGGTCAAGTGGAGCGCATCCACAGGGTAGTAGTGCCAATGCTGACAAAGTTCACTTTAGACAACCCCGAAAAATGGTACCGACATGTAGCAACAGTACAACAATTTTTAAATAATTAGGCCAGTACAAGTACAAAAGCATCACCTTTCAAAATTTTAACAGGACTGAATATGCGACTCGATACACAGATAGATTTGAGTGAAGTTATTGAGGATGAGGCAGTAAAGGAGCTAGACAAAGAGCGTGAAGAAGTTAGACAAATCGCTATAGATATTATCAGGGAAATTCAGGAAGAGAATCGAAAAAGTTTCAACGTGAAAAGAAAGACTGAACAAACATACAAAGAAAACGACATGGTAGCTATAAAACGTACCCAATTCGGCCCCGCCCTCAAATTAAAAGGAAAATATCTTGGCCCATATAAGGTTATCCGCATATTAAAACATGGTCGGTATGAAGTGGAGAAAATGGGTGAGCATGAGGGACCAAACCTAACGATAACGGTGGCGGAGTATATGAAAAAGTGGGACCCGTCGTTCGTCAAGACGGCCGATTGTGGGAATGGGATTAAAGACCAGAAGTGGTCGAGTATATTAAATTATTCCAACAATTGTCCTCATCGGAGGAACCAACCAAATACAACCCTTCATGCTACTACCAATGAAATACAACCCTGCATGTTAAAACATTTGTTGACGAAACGCCTAGTTTAAAAAGCTGACGAAAAACGGCAGTTCTACAATTGACTTTGAGCCGAGAAGTTGCAGCGTGGCCTCTAGTTTCGTGTGTCTTTGATTTAATATCATTTTTGTACCTTTAACTTAAAACTTTTTGCAAATAAATACATTTATATATTTGAGAAACACCACACGTATGTAACTCAATCGCCTAATGGTTTGCCGAACCGTAAACATATGTTTACTAGGGCGGGTCGATTTAAAAGTCGCTCATTGCTCTGTGAAAATCGTATTCTAGGGATCAAAATAAGAAACTTTGCCGAACGAACCATACCTCTAAAACGAATGCTGATGTCCCCCAATTTGGGTCGAACTTTTGGGTAGGGGCAAATTTTGAAAAATCCCACTTTGACCCATTTAGACTGCTCCAATCGAGTCCAAATGTATGACCGACCCCCACTAACTTTGGACGGCCGATCCACCCATGCCAGTGGCACACCCCCTGGAACTCCCCCTGGGGGTTCCCCATACAATCATTTCAAAAAATCACCATTTCTGGCCTTTACATGAAAAAATCAGCTAAATGGCTATGTTTTTTCTTTATTTTTATTTATTTATTTATAATAATATTTATTATTTATTTATAATAATATCTATTTTTTCTCTTAAGAAATTTATTTAGTCAGAACATATGTAAATGAAAAAATTAATTTAAGTGAGTTATAGAAAAGAAACTAAAAAAAATTATTGTTTGAAGTCTTTTTTACTTTCAAGTCTGGGCAATTTCGCACGGCTCTCTAATGTCGTCGCCATAACAGCCTCTACATTTTCCGGTATAACCCGTTTGGAAACGCTAGCTAGCAATTGAACATGTCGTTCCGTTCCTTGTAT